AGCTTTTTTTCTCTGGTGCACTGACTATATGAATTTAAGCATGCAACTAGGTTGCACCATTTTACAATTTAACTAGCTAGACGTAACTGCCACTTCTACTCTAACAGTTTTTCTTGCACTTTTCACCTGTGGAATTCCCTCCCAATTTCTTGCTTCCCTACCACCTGCAATCTTCAAAAATTTAAATGCAATGTCAATCGCTATCTTCTGTCTTCTTGAACCCTGTTCATTTTTGTCCTTTCCTCAATTGTCTCCATTCTCAATCTTCTCACACTTTCACTCCCTGTAGCTCCCTGCAGTCTAGCGGCATTGTCGCCTTGCTTGGGGTGAAACAATTAAAAAGTCAGCATTAGTACTAGGGGCTCATAAATGAATGAGTAATGCTATGTCAATTTTTATAAAGTAGAATTCATATAAAATACAAACTTTATTGAAAACTAATTATATGCAATGATCATAACTATAATATTATCAATCATTTTTAAGATGTGTAAAATAAAAAACATTACTTATGGCACAAGATAAAAAGGAAAACATTTCTGTGTATACTTTTCTCCTTTATCACACCCAAGCACAAAATAAATTTGTTCACAACCATTTTTTTTTTTTCAATGTTTTAACAAATTTAATAAAAATGAATTATTTCACATGTAAGTTTCATACTTCTAAAGCTTTAAAATATAGAATTTTTGAATATGGTTTTTAATAAGTTATAAATTTTAGATATCTAATTTTAAACATCAATTCACATTAATTTTTTAAATTTTGAACAAATACTCTTGGAGTAGAACTAAAAAAATTTAAACTTGTGAAATATTTATGGAACCAATATTCAACAACAGGAATATTAAACACATAGTAAAAATTAAATATTTTTTTATAAATCATACCATCATATATATTTGAACAATGTATCTGAATATAAATTAGCAACATATCAAAAATCAACATGCAATGTTTTGCCGTAAATTTTAACATCAACATGAGTTTTTTTCTTGATAAAATGCTGAATAATTTATCAGTCTACATCCCTTTCAATTTTTTTATATAAAGTTATTTTTCTATTTTCATGAATCAAATGTTCACTGCCCTTGTACCAGTATGTGTTAGTAATAATTATTCTCAAAAGGGTTTCAGTGACATGGACCAACTTCTGTGTTTTTCCTCAGAAATACACGAGGACTGCCCTTTCAGTGACTACAAGTGATGGTCCAACATCTTTGCTCACAAAACAATTCTTCTTTTCAAAAACATTTCTATATGGCAATTAGTAAGATATCCAAACTTGGCATGGCTACCTTCAATGTCAAGGTGCATTGAGGACTTTCCTAAGAAAACATTAGCGTAAGTGCAGGAGATGATAGCATAAGCACTCAACTTATCAAGTATAGCCTAGAGTCTCCTTATCTGCAGATTATAAGTTCAACAATATGGTTAAAAAAAAAAAAAAAAAAAATAGAAAAGAATTTGATATAGCCCCCACCCACAGAGGTATAAAAAGAGCAAATGCATTCACTACTTTATCTAAATCAATGGATCAAGCCTTGTCATTTTCAGAAATCATTGCTAATCTGCCATCTTTAATTGTAGATTGCAGATTTATTTATTTATTATGTTTAGTTTGTTAAAACTTATTTTGACACTTGTTACAGACATTGATGCAGTAAGTAATAGTTGCAATGCAAAAGTTCAGTTAAGTGTCAAGTGATTCCAAAACATTATGGGTATACTTTAGCTCCCTTTTCTGTTTTTGATCTCCAATTCTCATTGCAGAATTAAAGCAAATCTATCTCATGAGATGATTCTTCTAATTTAATGTCATCCAGTTTTTTCATAAAATTGTTTGCATTGTTCATTTAGATTCCCACACTCCACTACATTCAAGAGATTCAGAATTTTTTATGATTTAGTAGAGTTCATTCATTTTCACTGGAAGACAAATCCTGGTAAATAAGAAAGATAGAGTCCTGACAAGTATGTACTTTAGGTGTACAAACTCCATCACAGAAATTGCAATCAAATAAATGTTTTTTGTAATGTGCTTCTGGCTCACAACTTTTTAATAATGCTATTTTCTTCTGCTGTCAATATTGAAGAGGAATATTTAAAGTAATAGCATATTTGTTGCGTTTTATTTTAACATCACAAACAAGTAGATAAAAATATTTATTTAGAAACATGTATTAACAGATCTTAAATAACATTAAATCATTACAATTATTCATTGTTTAATAAAGAAAAAAAAAAATCAGTATATATATATATATATATATATATATATATATATATATATAAGATTTCTTTTTGAGGGCCAAAACAATCTGATTTTAATGCCATTTTTAGCCCCTGTTTATTGTAATGTAATTCTCTTTATTAAAAACAATCTTCCAAAAATAAAATATACTTTTCTGAAACTTTGAGGAATATTAGAACCAAGTATAATTAATCTGATTTGTGATAAATATTATTTACTTTAAGTTTAAATATTGCAGAATGCATTTTTAACACAGTAGTAGCTGTTTATTTAAGCTGTTGACAGCTCGATTACGGATGGATGCATCTCTAATGTGGTTCTATGGAGGAGGGGGGGATTTATCTGTAAAAAAAAAAAAAAAAAAAAAAATAAGTAATTGAATATAATGTGAGCACCTTTTATATAATATTTTTTTTTAATTTACTCAGTAACCTTAAAAATTTAGGAAAATATTCTCCACATAGTTATCACCCTTATTTTCTGATAATATCATCAGTATCTACAAAAATTGGCACATTTATAAACACATACAAAACAACACAAACAAAAAAATTCAAAATTCTTTTAAAAATATTGGTGTTTGATGAATTGTACTAAGCTTTTTAATTTATGATTAATATAGTTTTTATTTAATAGTATCATCTAAAAGGGTGAAATTAATACTGTTTTATATCTTAAATTATTCTAATTAAAATGTAAAAAAAAATTCTTGGAAAAAATTCATTTTTTTTCTATTTAAATGTCTTAGGTTTAATGCATTTTTTATTTTATGATTCAGAGCAGATTTTTGGTAACTGATGATTCTGTTTTACAAAAACAAAAACTTGATTTAAATTCTCCAAGGAGTTCTGCTTTTAAATAACAAATATTAAAAAGGGATCAAAATTTCATTTCTCAAAATTTCATAAAACCAAGTAAAAATTTGGGGAGGGGGAAATTTTAAAAAATAATATATATATATTTTTTTTTTTACCAAGGATTTCCAAAAAAGAAACATTTTGAAAACTTACTTGTGAATAAGTCCTAAAAGTTTCATTAAAATCTGAGGCTCTATCAGTGTTCATTTATGTAATTGTATGACATGTTTAAAGTTTCATTTCCTTTAAGGTGTGTTTCCTGTAAGCATATGATTGCTGGACACTGATCCAAGGCTGTGATGAATAATATTAATTCACAAAGAATTGACCTTCCCACTTCTTATATTCCATTGGAGTATGTTGTTAGCCATGTTTCTATTTTTGTGAGATCCTTGTTTGGGTGGATTAGATGTGTGTGGGTTTTATCTCGAAACATTAGAATTTATTTTGTGCAATTTACATCATGATTTTTGGTCATAGTTTTGATTGGGGGTGGGGGGTGCTTGTCCTTTTTTTGGGGCTTTTTGTCCTTTTCAGCTACTTCATCCTGGGTTGTTTTTTTTTGGTTTGTTTATTTGTTTTTTGTTATGGTTTATGTGGGTGTTTATTAGTTTCTCTTCTCCTTCTGATGCTTGCTTTATTTCTGAGTGATTAATTTTTTTTTTTCATTTTGTTTATATTGTTCTGTTCTCTCCTGGTTTTGTTTAGCCCTTAGATGAGAATCTATAGTATGAGTAACATTGTTTTTTGAAAGTATCAGTTTTATTTCATTTAAAAATTTGGGCCACTCATTTGGTCCCAGTTGTAGAAATTTTGTTACAAGTATCTCGTATTTTGTATCTTGGTTTTTGGCATTCAATGTTGTTATTTTTGGTGATCTGTGCATAGGTTTTATCTTTCATGTACCCTTCCACAATTTCTTTTGCTTCTGGAAAAGGTATGTTCTTTGTATATTTTATGTTCATTATCTCTTTCCTTTTTCCAGATTTTACATGATCCAGAATAGGTTGGGTGGTTGTTACCACAATTTACCCAACTGCAGTTAAGTTTACAGTCATTGGTGGGAGATCTCATCTGTGTGAATGCCTCACATAGCCGATACATATCCAAAATTAGGATGCAAAAAGTGACTGTGATTAACAGTTTGCACCCAGTCTTAGTCAATAGGATACCATGCTGTGATGGACTTTTGCCCTAATTTGGAGATAAGCATAGCAGCAAGTGACCACCATGGCACATCATCAGCAAGTGGGAGGGTGATCGAGCTTGAATCAAGGGTGAGAACACTAGTAAAAAAAATTGAGCGTGACTAATAAATCCTCAGAAGAAGATTCATTTAAAGAAGTAAAAGAGCACCAAGCAGAAGAGTTCATCACTGTCACATGTCTCTGGTCATGAAATCAGGTGGGAGTGTAGTGGAAATGGTGGATATAATCATAATAGAAAAATTGAAAACCAATTACAACTTACTGGTTAACTTCAAAAGCGACATTGAGAAGTTGCTTGACTGTGACAAAAGAAAATGAATATTGCAATGATTCTCTCATACACATTTGATTAAAGGAAAAAAAAATAGCAAGAAGTTTTTTTTTGTTTTTTTTTTTATTTAAGATTGTTTTTTTTTATTTTTCTCTTCAGTTCAGATCAATTCCCTGGTTTCCAGGCATTTTAAATATAAACAGACTGTCAAATGACTTCTAAGCACTTTCAGCTTTCAAAAGCCATTATCAAAGATTTTTTGTGGGTTAATTTTGTACCTATAGATATGGATTATTTATGTAAAATATTACAATATTAAGTAGATTTCATTTTTTTTTTGTCAGCATTATTAGGATTTATTATTGATTTTTTAAAAGAATGCTTAATATCAAAAGTAAACATATATTTACCTGAGATTTGGGTCACCACCATATTTAAGTAATAAACTGGTAATAGATTTACTGATTCCTGGGCCCAAATGAATAGGTGCAATATCTTCGCCAGAAAGAAAGGCATTAGGATCAGCTCCACATTCTAACAGTTGCTCAATAGTGCTAAAAAAATAGTAAAAAAATTTAAAAAAATGATATATATTTCAATGTGAATCATCTTCTCAATGGTATCAATAGAAAATAAACTGAATGTCTCATTGAAACTTCAGTTCTTTGACAATGAGCAGTTACTTCCTCCCCAGTTTAACATTTGTACTCCCCAAAAGTACCAAATTGATCAAGATAGAAATAAAAAACAGGCATACAGCATGTCAGAATATTTGAAAGTGGGAAATACTTTGCCATATATTATCTATCACATCTATTGCATTCTCAATTTTATATCACAAATGATAAAAACTAACATCAAAATATATGAAAAATTAAGTTACAGTAATAATTTCACCCCAAGCAAGGCAATAAAACCACTAAAATGCAAGGGATCACAGAGTGTGAGAGCATGTGATGAAAATAAAACATTAAAGAGTGAGAACAATAAAAGAACAGGAATTAAGACAGTAGATAATGATTGACATTACATTTAAATTTTTGAAGATCAAAGTTGACTGGAAAGCAAGAAGCCAAAAACAGTTCCACAGGCGAGAAGTGCAAGAAAAGAAACTGTTAGCATAGAACTTAGTTATATCTAGCCATTTCAACTGTAAAATGATGAGACTTTGCTGCCAATCTAGTACTGCACTAAAATTACCAAAGAGGAAGACTTATCAGAACAATTATGAAAACATTTATAGAAAAAGCTCAGTGAAGTAATATAGTAGTGTAAAAGTGACCGAAGCCAATATGTCAAGTTAGGATCAATAACTTAGCAGATTCTTGATTGAATTTTATCAAGAATCTCTAAATACATAGAAGCACCAGACCAAATGTGGAAGCAATATGCAATGCATGGATGAATGGTAGATAATTTTTCCTCACCAGAATCCATCACAACATATAGGGGAATAAATTTTTCGGAATCACGGAATCATTAGTCTTAAATGGAATCTGGGTTTTTAATGTAATTCTCAATAATAAATAAATTAATTATTTAATTTTTTTCTCAAGATTTTAAATTTTTTTTTTTTTCAAAACTTAACTATCTCTCTGATTTTGTTAAACATTTTAATAAATATAATAATAACATAACGTAGCTATTTCCTTAAAATTTGTTTTTTACAAATCTTTGTAGTTATTTTCCTTATAAAACCCAAAAAATAATTAAGAACAAATGTTTACATAAAAAAAGAAAAGACAAGTGGGTTGTCAATTTTCTGAGAATATTTTGGCTAGTCTATTTTTAAATATTTCATAACTTTTCTAAGAAACTGTATGTTGCAAATGAGATGAAAGTCAGGTCACAGCTTGGTCGTGGCCACCAAGATCCATTGCTAAAGTGGAAATGGAAGACAGACATTAGTTGATATCAAAATTGGAGGGGAGAAGGAGACGAAGATCAAACCAATAAGTTTAACAAATTCATTTCCTTTAAAAGCTAAAATCTGTCTAACATAATTTAGAAATAAGGAAAAACAATTCTCCAAAAAATACCATTCTATGAAACAACTGGCTTGTTTAAGCTTACCATCACACAGCAATTCTCCTGGATTAATAACTGCATCATCTTCAGTGCTTCACCATTGTAAACAAATTTAAATTGAACGAAAAAATCCTTTACTAACATTAACTATCAATGATTGTTTTTTCATATTTATTTATATTTTGTAATCTAAACCAGTTGCATGAATAAATAACAAATTGCAAAATGACTGAATCAAGTCAATATAATGAATCAACCTCAAAAGTTGGGCCTGCTCCTCTCAGAAAGAAAAAAATGACCCCAGTATCTAAAATTTATGCTAAAGCCAGAGTAGAGCAATTTCCAGATGACTTTTATGCAGAAGAAAATGTTATTTTATAAATTCTATCTCCACAGTGTTGACATTTTTAGGATTGACACAAAGATCATATCAAATCAAAAACTCATTTGACAAAAAAGTTGGCTCAACTGAAACAGAAGACAATCACAACTTTGTTGAAGAGTAAAAATGCATGAGATGATTTTGTCCTTGATTTTTTGAAAATGTGCACTTTGTCTGACATTCCTCTACACAAAATTGACAAAATGAGGCCATTCGTATTAAAACATTGTAAAGAAGGTGGTGCTATTGCAAGTGTCAATTGTGTTAGATAACTTCCTCTACCAAAATTGTTTGTCACTTTGCTGCCCTGAAAGCCAAGCTTGCTAATCAATCAGCCAGCATCATAACAGACAAAACAACTGTCATGTCCACAGCATTTTGAATGTAATTGCAAACATTCATGGAGAGTCATTTCTCATTGATGTTGTAAACCTTGCAAGAATGCAATCATCAAACTGTAAGTCAGGCATGCATTTGAGCTGTAACTCATGTGGATATTGCATTTGAGGATATTATTGCCTTTGTGACAGATTCTGCAGCCTATTGCAAAAACAGCTCATAAGGAAGTGTTGTCAAATGCCTTTGTTAACAGTTGCCATGTGTTGTGCTTAGCACATATTTTAAATCTTGTTGACAAAGTATTTTCACATTGGCCAACATATGATAATGTTATCCAGCTTGCTACTTTCATCAAGTTAGCCTGTTTTAAAAAGCCAAGTCAGAAAAAGTAATATTTAAAATGGCTGGAAGGTTCCTTGCCTATGGAACAAGTGAAACTACTCCCTGTACCAGTGGTTACCATATGAAATTCCTGGTTTAATGTGGCCAAATAACACTCATAAGCAAGAAACGAGCCATGGCCTTGCAGTAGATAGGATTCTAGAATTAATAGATGATGGTCAACTACATCATGCCTCTTACTATAAATTACACCTAAATCAGAATTTTATAAATGAGAACTGCCCTCATTTAATTACAGCTTTGACAAACTTAGAAGAAATTAAGTCCCCATTTGCATGTGTTGTATATAACATGATGGAGGATGTAAAACAGTATTTGCATACTGGTTCATCAAAATCAACATTTGGCCTAGAAACTGATCGTCTTCTGTCTGAACTAGAAAACACAGAGAGGGAATGAGTTATCTCAAATTTCCAAGATTTTTTCAGCAAACCGAATAAATACCTAGATACCAACCCTGTGTATAACTTTTACAAGGCAGCTCACCTGTTTGATCCTAGACAGCTACCCTGAATAGGCCATGATTTAGACAGTTTTGTAGACATGTCCTTCTACTGATAGGCCATGTTTTTGGCCATTTTGTTGCAATGTCCTTCTACTGATCTTTTTGAAGAATTACAAATGTATATGAATTACCAAATCCTTTTAATATCCCATCATTTTTAAATTCAAATAAGAGCAGATTTCATGTTCAAGGACAGATTGCCAATAAGGTCATATGGATGCCTGTTACCAGCATAGATGCTGAATGTTCATTTTCTCAATAAAAATTTACTCAATAAACAACATGAAAGTCTTACCCTCGAGAACACCAAGCAACTCACAATGTTGTATTACAATGGAGATTTAGAGATTAAATATTTCCCAAATTAAGAAATTAGCAATTTTAAATTTGAGCAGTATTTCAACTTGGGATAAGTTGTTGTATTTAAATTTTGAATTAATATATCTAATTTGTTTTTTTGATATTTTGTTACAAAGATCCAGTTATTATGGTTTAATTACTGTTTTCTAAAAATCAGATATTTATTATTGAGATTCAAGTTTGCTGTTTATACTTTGAATGTGATTTTTATATTTTGAATCAATAATTATAAATCAATTTAAATCCTTTTACTTAAAAAAAAAACAAAAACAATTTGAATGTGTTTTGAACATGTACTTAAAGAAGGAAGCTCTGGTTAAAAGTTCTACCTCAAAGATATGCATTGTAACATTCCATTGTTTTATTGTCTTGTCATGTTATATTTTTTTTATTTTTACATATAATTTATTTATGGACTTGGATTTTAACATTAACATTTAAAAAAAAGATTTGTAGATATTTGCTATTTCTTTATATGCATTAAAACTTTGAATTATGTTTTTGTTTTAATAATAATTATAGCATATTGTATTGCAGTTTTCTCATAAAATACTATAAAAAAATGAAAAAATGAAATTCCCAAAAGTCAAAATGGAAAAAAAAAAAAAAAATGGAATTTACCAAAAGTAGAAACAGAATCAAGAAAAATTTGAAATGGAAAATTGGGGGCCCTGGACACAGAACTAACTTTCCTAGCAGCAGACCTAGCAATTGATTCAATATTATCTTTCCACTTCATGTCAGCGGAAAACATTAACTCAAGAAGGCACAAGGCGTCACTCTTTTGGAGTTTATCATATTCCATGCTGATGGAAGGGAAAATGGTTCTCTCAGACAATTAAAAGAGAGCAATTTTGTTTTGAAGGAGTTACAATTAAGCCATTTCTTGGCTCAGTTAACAGCAGATTGGAGGTCATTTTTTTTTTTAAAGATGAGCTGCCAATTTGACCTTTCCAAACAAAGATTTACTATTAAGACTGGAGTAAATAGTTGTGTCATCAGCATAGATACCAAATTGAGAACTGATGATGTCAGGACAGATGTTAATGAAAATTACGAACAACATAGATTCAAGAATAGGGCTTTGAGGGACATCTGCATTAATGCAAAAACATCTAGAAGAATGGCAAACTTTCATTTTGTGATTTGATAAAATTGAATCAGTTCAAAAATTCACCCAGAAATACCATAACCCTTGAATTGTAAAGACCAGCATGTCAAATCCCTTTGAAATATCCAAAGCAACAGTCTGAGCTCAACCATTCATATTTAAAGCATGATAGACTATTAGCAATAACTGTTAATACATCAGAAGCTGACAGGGAGAAACAAAACCATATTGTTTATCTGACAGAAAACTGTGAGGTGAGATGCTTAATAGGCTGATAGAAGGATCAGACAGTTTGTTAGAGAACTTAAAGGCTGGAATTGCAGAAGAGAATTTTCAACAAAAAGCAAGCAGCAAGGCATTTATTGTAGAGTTTAGAAAGAACAGGAGCCAGTTCAGGAGTACATTTCTTAAGGAATACCATGAAGTT